AATTTGTATGTAAGCCGGAACAGTAGTATTGTATAATACTGTATAAGTAGTGTTGTGTAATGAACTCAAACCATTGTGTGTTTAACTTGAATAATTGTGTATTTAACTGGAAATTTGCTACAATAGGCTCTGTTCTTAATTATGGGTTGTCCTTAAACTTGGTGTTCTTAACCTGGGGACTACATGTATAAGAAAGCTTAGTATTATTAAGATATTAATTCTTCATTTCACAAGCAAATCAGAAATTGGTTTCCCCAACTTTTGCTAATTTTTTTCTTGGTGTCATTGTCTGGCTGCTGTAGCCATTTTTCTTGAGAAATCAAGCCCAATTCACTCTGCTCATGGACACTAAATTGGAATTCTCTGGAATTCTGACTTATCACTGATGTGAGCACAGCTAATTATGACTTAACTGTTCACATTGGCTTAGCATAATGAGTGAACCCAGTTAATTATGGTTTATTCAGTATACCATAGTTTTATGTGATATGTTCACCTCGTAAAAAGGTCAAATATTATATATATTATAATTGAACAGTATAATAAAAATGCAGGCCATTTTCCATGGATAAGATCTAGTCTATATCTTTATCACGCCTCCTCTAAACCATCAAATGTAGAAACTTAATTATAGACAATATATGCTACCAGTTTTTAAATTAGTCAGGATTTTAAAAAAATATTCTGTTGAAATTTAGAATGGAGAAGCTAAAATAATTAACGTATTTTTCTTTGGGGGGTTTTTGCCTGTGTTTTTGCAGAAAATGAAAGCAGACCTTAGTATGAAGAAGTCCCTGCTTGGAACTTTGGAAGCAGAGCTGCAGAAAGCTCTCCAGATTCACTCCCAGTCTTCTCAGATATACCCTCTCTATGACTTAGATCTTGGAAAATTTGCTGATAGAGTCAGCCAGCTAACAGACCGCTGGCAAAGGGTGGAGAAACAGCTGGATGACAGGTTTGTTTCTGAAGCAGTGTCTCTGGCTTTCTCATAATAGCATCATTGCTTTGCAGTGAATTTTACATTTACTATAAACCCAACACTGCAAGTTCTAGCAAAGAACTTTCTTCTTAATTAGATTGTGCTATATCTTGCAAATAGGATTTCTGGAAAAGTGCCTTTTAGGCTACTTTAAGTCTAAATGTCTAACCTAAATTTGATCCTGTGGAATTTGAATACAATCCTTTCTGGTTGATAGATAGAGATAAAGATTGTCCTCATGGTAGCTGAATATGCACTTCCATGACAGTTGGTCATGCTCTGCAAATGATAGCTGCATTTATGGAGCTATATTAAACTTAGAAATAGTGTTGCACATATTGCTGCAGGCTTTTAAAACAGAAAATTCTTTGTAAATATATTGATATATAATTGCATTCTTTGCAACTGTGGCATAACTGAGAAGTTGCGTTACAAGCTAAGCAAAGGCTGTGGATGTAGAGTTTCATGAAGAGCAAAGTGGATATTCTTATTCGTAGAGAAGGGGCTATAGCTCAGTGGTAAGAAACACGTTTTATGTATAAGGTCGTAAAGAAAATCACTGGCATCATCAGTGCAAAAGCGGCTCTCAGATAGCAGAGCTGTTAGAAAGGATCTTAATCTCACTTCTTGCACTGATGCTGCTTGTCATAGAAATCAGCATTGGGTTCAATGGATCAATTTATATTTGTTGCTTGTTTTGCAGATCTTGGGATTTAGAAAAACAGGTGAAGCAGCTGAGAACCTATCGGGATCTTTACCAGGCTTTGAATAAATGGATCTGTGATGCCAAGCGCCGACAGGACACTATTGAAGCCATGAAATTGGGAGATGTTAGCACTGTCATGAGATACTTGCAGGAGCAAAAGGTACTGTTTTATACTAAGTGCACCAAACTGATCTTCAGAACTATTTTGGAATCAGTTTGTAATCCATCCTAATCTGCATTGGCATGACAGTAAGAGTTCAGGATAATATCTTAAATACAACCTTCAGTTCAGCTAAAATTGTGGCAAATCTTTCTCTAACTTGGGCTTCCTCACTATAATTCTGAAGGGCAACAAGATAGACTACTCTATCCTGGATAGGCTATCCTACACATTCTCACTGTCACTATATCCCTGGGGATCCAGTTATATAAATGGACAGATGCTTGCCCACCCTTTGAGTTCCAAGAATCTGATTAACATTCATTCATTTCTCTTCTTGTCAGAACTTGCACAGTGAAATTACAGGCAAGCGTGACAGAGTGGAAGAAGTGATCAAGAATGCAGAAGTGTGCTCACTTGCAATCAAGGTAAAGTTATTCAACCTGTTCTTCTCAGAATATGTTTTCACAACAATGGCTTAATCATGCCACTTTTTTTTCTTAACCCTCTCTCCATTTTTAAAACAGTGAATCCAACTGCTAGCAAAATGAAGTTCATAAAATGTTGATGCCATTGCTAGTATGATATTGATTTATAATCCTCAAAAGCCTGGTTGGGCAAGTGCCATTAGTACACATTTTGAAATTGATAAATCCCTGTAACCAATACACAGAATAAGAGCTAAGACTTCTCTTTGCTCTCTACCCCTTCTTATCCCTGCCTGTGCTCCAAATCTGCTTCATTGTTAGCAGAATGGCTTTCTCCTCCCATTTCTACTACTATCAGATCTTATTTCATCAGCAGACAGACACCATTGTCTCCACCTTTAATCTGATAATAACTACTCCCTAGAAATAAAAACTAAGTTCCATTGCAATTTCAATGGGCCATCTAAATAAATGGTTGAGCTCACATGTCATTTTGTGCTGTTGTATGATTTGATTTTGGCTTGTTTCTGTTTAAAGGTGGTAAAACAGTTTTAAACAATATTTGATTTTGGCTTTGGCATAACATGATTCATGAATGGTCATGCATGATTTGTTTGTGATTTCTTCATTTATTTGCACTTTGCTTTTGTGTTTTGTCTAAGCCTTTAACCAACTCATGTAGGACCAGTGCATGAGCAATAAAACAAAAACAAAACTATAAAAACAAAAGAAAAAAATAGGAAGAAAACACAATTACTTTGCTTGTCTGCAAGACTGAGTCTAGCTGTGTTGATTTGCTTAAAAAACAGTAGTTGACACAAAGCATGGCTCAGCACAATGGGGTTGATTCAGCCACATTGAGACATAAGCAATCAGTCAAATCAATCATCCCTGTCTGCCTCATGCTTTCCTGGTATATTTCAGGACAGGCTTATGGAAAGCTGAAAACTTGCTTTTTAATACCTGTTGACATGATTGTAAGATCAAACATTTTCAGAAACTTTTTCATAAAATAGTTTGACTATTTAAACACATATATAAAGCGTAGGACCTGTATTATTCCAACTATTTCCACTTCAGTATCACCATATATTGTTGATTTAAAGAACAATCCTTATTTTGGTTAGTTTCTTCCAGCTTCACCCTCATCCACTTCACTGTATTTATTTTTCCACAAGCTTTGGAATATATTGCTTTTCTGTAATGCTGAAATTCAGAGCAGGAAATATTGTACACCAATATTGTTTACAAAGTGCTTTGTACTTTCTTCTCATTTAACAGGATTATGAACTCCAGGCTGCAGCTTATAGTTCAGGACTAGAAACTTTACTGAACATTCCTGTCAAGCGGAGCATGGTCCAGTCTCCTTCAGGCCTTATTCTACAAGAGGTACATGTCCCCCATTTCATGCTGTTTGCTATTTCAGCAATGTGATCTCAAGGTCCTGGAATTCACCAACTGGGGGATCATATGTATTATATGAGTCACGGTTTTCCCATCCCTAATTTAGGACAATGATTACGCAAGTTTAAGATTAGGCTGTTTTGTTTTATGAGTATCAAAAATCTATTAAAATAAGTAAAAGTCTCTGGGAGAGATGGGAGGCATACAAGTTGAATGAATGAATGAATGAATGAATGAATGAATGAATGAATGAATGAATGAATGAATGAATGAATGAATGAATGAATGAATGAATGAATGAATGAATGAATGAATGAATGAATGAATGAATGAATGAATGAATGAATGAATGAATGAATGAATGAATGAATGAATGAATGAATGAATGAATGAATGAATGAATGAATGAATGAATGAATGAATGAATGAATGAATGAATGAATGAATGAATGAATGAATGAATGAATGATAGATATTTGGGATAGGCTGTCAATATTATTTTCTCTCCTCTTCCCTTCTTATTCAGGCTGCAGAGATTCAATCTCGATATATCGAGCTTCTTACAAGATCAGGAGATTATTACAAGTTCTTGAGTGAAATGTTAAAGAGCTTGGAAGATATAAAGGTAACTTCTCTCCTTATTCATAGACAACTTGTGAATTGTACAATATCTGGAAGTATTAAGTGCTTCAAAAATAATATTTAGATTAGAGGTAGTATCTTGATGTAATGATAAAAAAACTTCCTAGCACACTTAGAATGTTACTTCTGTGATTTAAAACATTTTTCGTTGCTGTTATAGTTAATGTTTCATATTTAGACTTGAGATTTAATTTAGACAAATAGTAGAACCATGTGATAAAGATTTTTTGGCAAGGCCAGCTTCACCTGACCTGGCATCATGCAGATGTGCTGTAACCACAGTTCTGATATTCTGTAAGTTGTAGTCCCACTGTATCTGTAAGATACCAGTTTGTGGAAAAATAGACTAGATCAGTACAGACTTTTCATGTGTGTACATATGGCTCTCATAAAATAATACCTGTCTTGTGCACAATAAAAGTCTAGCAAGTTAAGAAAAGACTTTAAGGGAATTTCTCCTAAATAATTTTATATTATCTGTATTAATAGATAATAATTTTATATGTGCAGGAAACTTTTTTCAGCAAGATAACTTTTGAGAAAGTGATTCCCTTATGTTCAGTTTGAAATTGTGTAATTCAGAAAAAGCTATGTCATGTTGTTGCTGCATATGTGGAAGGTTTCTAGATATTCCAATTACCACAGATGGAATATTTGCTTAAATTTTAACAGTCACTCCAAGGTAGGTTTTTTCTGATAGGTAGAGGGCCCCATCTTCTAAACTTAAAGTAGTGTTTACATAGGACATAATATGTACTTGAGTTCAACTCAGAAATCTGTTTGAATGTCAAGTCTTAGGAGTGAAGATATGAAACAGTAACACCAAAAAGGCTAAGCATATTCAGAGTGCATTTTACTCACCATTTACTCACCTTTCCCCACACATCTGATTAGGGTGCATAAGTTTTCCTAGGCAGGTATAATTTGTAATAGCTTTGTATTGCATAGAAGTTAACTTATTCATAGAAACAGTATTTTTGTGCTTTATTTTTTGCTACTTTTTAACGTGACATATTATGGATATAATTGTATTTTTATTTTTATTTTTATTTAGAAAAGCATTTTTTGTCTTTTGTGTTTGTTAAAAAGCAAGCCCAAAGACTTAGTTTCAAAACCATTCTCATCACCATCATCACTGCCACAAAGACTAGAATTTAATTAATTCAAGTGTTCAACCCCAAGTCTGGTACCCCAAGAGTAGGGGACCAACTCCTTAATACACGGAATTGTACATTTCCCTCCATGTATCATCATTCTGATGTATTCAGAATGGTGCTTTATTAAATATCTTCCGTGAGAATGTTGGGATCTTGTTTGTTATACTTAATGTGAAAACTAAAAGGATCATGATACTTTGCATAAAGATGTCTTTATATATATATATATTCCATTTGAGCCCCAAATTCATTTTATAGGCCCCGCTCTCAGGATCTGTGCATTGCATGGTGTGTCAGATACTTACATGGGAATCAGCTTTTAAGCTGTAGCCCCCAGCTCTCGAACAATTCCCCAAGAAATCTGCTGTCCTCCTATTCTGATATCTGTTCAGCATCAGATCAAGTCTTTTTAAAATTCTCTTAGACTCTTCATCTTTGTGGACTTTTAAAAAAAAATCTGAATTAAAACTACTGTTTTAATTTATTATTTCATTAAGGTTTGTTTGGATGTTATATATAGTTTTGCTATATATGTTATTTATAATTTTTATACGGATGCTAAATAAGTTTTGAAATAAATGAAACAAACATGAAAAGGAATGTTCTTAATTTAACGTCGTGGTTTTGTTTTTTTCTTTTGCAACATCGTGCACTGTATTGTATGAAGTTGATCAAATGTTTGTGTCTCTCCTGGTTCCGTAGATGAAAAGCACCAGAATAGAACTACTGGAAGAAGAACTGAGATTGGCCAAAGATGCCAATTCTGATAGCAGCAATAAGCACAAGTTCCTGGAGCAAAACCTGCAGAAGTATCAAGTGGAATGTTCTCAGCTGAAAGCTAAATTCATAAGTTTGGAAGAAATGAAGAGACAAGTTGAGATGGATGGCAGTACAGCCAAGCAAAACCTAGACAAATGCTATGCTCAAATAAAAGATCTGAATGATAGGATAACAAGGCTGACTTATGAGATTGAAGATGAGAAGAGGAAAAGGAAGCTGTTGGAAGACAGATATGATCAGCAGAAGACAGATTTTGATCAATTACAGAAGACAAGGCAAAATGAAAAAGAAAGCCTTGGTTGGCAAAAGATAGAATCAGAGAAAATCGTCAAAGAGAAGGAGTATGAGATAGAAAGGTTAAGGGTTCTTCTCCAGGACGAGGGGACACGGAAGAGGGAATATGAGAATGAGTTGGCTAAGGTAAGAAACCAGTTTAATGAGGAGATGAGTAATATAAAGAACAAGTATGAAACAGAGATTAACATTAAGAAGACCACCATTCATCAGATAGCTGCACAAAAAGAAGATGATGCCAAGAACCTCCGTGCTCAGATTGATCGATTACAGAGAGAAAATAGAGACCTGAAGGATGAGATCGTCAGGCTCAATGATGCCATTTTGGACACTACAGAACAGCGAAGGAGGGCAGAAGAAAATGTCCTTCAGCAGAAGGCTTGTGGCTCAGAGGTGATGCAGCAGAAACAACAGATAGAATTGGAATTGAAACAGATCATCCAGCTGCGTAATGAAGACAACACAAGGTACAAGCAAGCCCTTGAAGATGCAGCTTCAACCATCCAGGAAAAAGCCAAGGAGATTGAAAGGTTAAAGATTCAGCTGCAAGAAGAGGCTAAAGGCCGATGGGAACTTGAAAATGAGTTGGCTAAGGTAAGGAACAGTTATGATGAGGAAATTATTAGTTTAAAGAACAAGTATGAAACTGAGATTAATATCACAAAGACCACGATAAACCAGGTGACTGTGAAAAAAGAAGAGGAGGCCAGTAATTACAGAGCCCAGCTGGACAATGCTGTAAGAGAAAATAGGAGTTTGTGTGAGGAAATTAGGAGACTGAAGAACACACTAAGTCAGACAACAGAGAACCTTAGACAAGTAGAAGAAAGTGCTCACCAGCAAAAAGCTATTGGATCGGAAATCTCACAAAAGAAACAACAGCTTGAAAAAGAGTTAAAGCAGACTGTTCAGACATTCACAGAGGAGATCACACATTATAAACAGTCCCTCGATGATGCGGGAAGAACAGTTAAGGAGAAAAATAAAGAGATTGAAAAAATCAGAAAATTGTTAGATGCAGAAATAAGCCAAAGGAAATCAATGGAGGAAGAAAATATTCGCTTGCAAAGGATCCAGTATGACCTGGAGAAGGCTAACATCAATGCAACAGAAACCATCAGCAGATTAAAAGTTCAAGAGCAGGAGTTGGGACGCCTAAAGAGTGAATATGAAAGGCTTGCACAAGACAAGAAAGGGAAGGATCAAGAGAGTACAAGGCTCCAGAGCACAATAAAAGAAATGCAACATAAAAAGCACATGCTGGAGGAGGAACTTAATAGGCAGTCTAGAATTGTAGCAGATGAAACTTCCAAAAGGAAAAATGTGGAAGAAGAGTTAGAAGCTATGAGGAGAACCTTGAGAGACCAAGCTGTTAAAATCACTAATCTCACTCAACAGATAGAGGAGATCTCTATTGTAAAGAAACGGAGTGAAGATGACTTGAGGCACCAAAGAGACGTGCTAGATAGTCACATGAGAGATAAACAGCGGTACATGGAGGAGATAAGAAAGTACACGTCTGAGGTTGAAACCTTGCGTCGCCAGATGGTTCAAGAGCAGGAGAATTTAAAACAGGCACATATTCGCAATGAGCACTTGCAGAAAGCTATTGAAGATAAGAGCAAAAGCCTCAATGAGTGCAAGATAGAAATTGAAAGACTTCAGTCTCTTACTGAGAATCTAACAAAAGAACACTTGATGCTAGAAGAAGAATTGCGAAATTTAAGGTTGGAGTATGATGATCTAAGAAGGGGCAGAAGTGAAGTTGATGAGGAAAAAAATGCCACAATTCTTGAGCTAAAGAATCAACTACAAACAAGCAACAAGCATACCCTGGAACTTCAGGGTGTGATAAATGGTTTACAGAAAGAAAGGGAAAATTTGAGACAGGAAATTGAAAAATTCCAAAAGCAGGCTCTGGAGGTATTCACAAATATTTGATCACAACTTTATTCACCTTCAGATTCTATAATTTAACACCAAATGTATATTCAGTCAGTGGATACTAAATGCGTGTGCATCTTAATTTTGATCAATCTCCACCCCCCCCTTTTAATTTGACTTAGGATCAGATTAATGTCCCTTCTAGGGACAAGTTCAAATGAGATATGGCAGTGAATTCCTCAGTTTAAAGGAAACTCCTCCTTTCCCTATTTCGATATTCTGAAGGAAAGTTGCAGCATCTACCATACTTTAATTGAATCCAGACTTGGTTATATTTCCCGATCTGCTGACTGTGTAGACTGTGTCTACATTTCCACTGATTTCAGCAGTTCTGTTTTTTTAAAACACTTTGGGCATTGTTTGAAGTAATATCCTAAAGGTTCCTCTGCTGAACATTCCTATACTTTTAAAACTTGTTGCAACAGAGTATATCTATGGTTCAGTTGCTCTGCCATTTCATCCCCCAAATGCAAATTTCTTCACCTCCATAGATTCTTGAGTCTTACCTTCTCTTAACTACTTGGTATAAGATGCACAATATATAACTCATGCAGTTACATATTGAAGTGTGACCTGATCTCCTTTTCTGTTCTTTACAAGAGCATGTATGTGTGCGTGCACATCTGATCATACATAAAAATATATATGCACATGCACACATCTTAAGTATGCTTATGCATACAACCTATAGTTAATATTGCTGAGTGGCTTATGCGTTGTTTCTTATATGTATATGCATATATGCTTCTATTTAAAAATATATATACATATTTATGAACATGTATGTATATTAATATTATTAATATGCATACATTATAATATTAACTGACAATCCGGCACAGACTTAAGCCTGCTAATTCAAAGGACCTAAATGTACTTCATGTTGGATTGCAGTCTATTGTCTTTTGCAATCAAGTCTTAATTTTTAAATCAGATGACCCCCCCACCTCTCTTTTGTTTCTGTAACATTGCTGCAACATTGTAATTTATGCCAATATACAGATTTTTAGGAGCAATCCACCAGGCATTGCTAAAATGCAAGTTTAATTTGTTTGATAAAATTTTGAAAAGAATAGAGAAAGGCTCATAAGTAGCATTTGAACTACAGTATTTCACTAACAAAACAATGGAGGGATCCACATTTATAAAGTGTATCCATTTTATATGTTCTCACATTTATTCATTTATATTAATGTAGATAAATGATGAAGATTGCACTAAACGTGTTCTATGAGTAAATTTATTAGAGTAAGTAAAGTTACTAAATATACCTGAGTCATAGTCATAAAACGCCCTTCCCCTGAAATTGATGGGAACATTCTTATACTAACAGTACTGCATTAAGAAAATTCAATTCACTATTTTGTTGAAATATTTTATTAAAAATGCATTGTTCAAGAATTTTCTTATCTCTTTCAGTGAATCTAATTTTATCAAAGAAAAAAAGTAACTCAGGCACTGCTAAACCACTAAATGAAGACAATGCAATTTATATTTTACATTGTAAGAAGTAAAAAAAGAAGCACTAAATGCCAGTAGAATGCTGTATTCCAAATTAAGCACTTTAAATTCTTACTAATTTTAAAAAAGAGGTTGACAATTCTAAAGATGTTTATTTGAAACAATGCAACTGAGTGCAGCAAGGCTTTCTCTTAAAGTAATTGTAGGAAAGTTCAGCTGCAAATCTATGCACTGTTACTTGTTAGTAAGTCTCATTAACTCAAGGAGGTAGACTTCTGTACAAGTTTGTACTGAAATGGGACTTAATATACTTATAAATAGTTATAAATGACTGTGCCCAGGCTGTTTTGTTTGAAAAAATTAAAATATTTGTATTAGTATGCCAATCCATACTAAAACAGACCTAAAACTGTGTGAAAATACAGTTTTAAGTTACTCAAGACTGCACATATCCACTGCTCATAAGGTGGTGGTTGAACTATAGAGAATAAATAATAAATACTGGATGTTAGCAGAACCATTAATTTTTTTCCTGTTTTTTTTTTTTAAAACATAGACATCCCATAGGATTCAAGAATCCAAAAACCAGTGTAATCATATCATGCAAGAACGAGAAGCCTTACTAATGAAAATAAAGAACCTGGAACAAGACAAAGCGAGATTGCTTAGGTTAGAGGAAGAACTGAATCGTACCAAAGGTACGCTGGACTCAGAGTCTCGCTTGAAAGTACGGCTAGAAAATGAGAAGCAGCAGATATTGAATGACTTAAATCAGTGGAAAAGCCAATATTCCCGGAAAGAAGAGACAATCAGGAAAATTGAATCTGAGCGAGAGAAGAGTGAGAGGGAGAAAAGTTCCTTGTTGGTAGAAATTGAGAGGCTGCAGGCAGAGATCAAGAGGATTGAAGAAAGGTATAGATGCCGTTTAGAAGAGACAAGCAGAAAGAGCCAGTCAGAGATGGAGGCAGAACGGTTGAGATTGCAAAGGGAAATTGAGAAATTAAAGCAACGTCCATATGTGGCACACAGAGGCACCCAGACAGAAGAAGACTTCATGATTGATCCTTCTAAGTTGCTTTTCAATGGTCTGCGGAAAAAGATCACAGCAGTACAGCTGTATGAGTGTCAGCTGATAGACAAAAGCACCCTAGATAAGCTGTTGAGAGGACAGAAGTCAGTGGAGGAAGTTGCTGCTGAACTTGAACCTTACCTTAGAGGAGCTGGGGCTATAGCAGGTGCTTCTCTTAACCCCAAAGATAAGTATTCTCTGGTGGAGGCCAAACGTAAACAGCTTCTTACTCCAGAGAATACAGTCCTCCTTTTGGAGGCCCAGGCAGCCACTGGAGGGGTAATTGATCCCCATCGGAATGAATTACTGAGTGTGGACAGTGCTATTGCTAGAGACCTGATTGATTTTGATGACAGGGAACAAATCTACACAGCTGAGAAAGCTATCACTGGGTTTAAAGATCCCTTCTCAGGAAAAACAGTGCCTATTGCAGAAGCTATCAAGAAGAATTTTGTTGACAGAGAGACTGGGATACGTCTACTTGAAGCCCAGCTGGCTGCAGGAGGAATTGTTGATCCTATCAATAGTGTCTTCTTGCCAAAAGATATTGCTTTATCCCGTGGGGTGATTGATCGAGATTTGTATAGAGCTTTGAATAATCCATCAAAGCCCTTAATTGATCCTGTTACTAAGAAGGCCATAAGTTACATGAAACTCCGAGAAAAATGTAGAATTGAACCACACACAGGTTTACTTCTCCTTCCTGTGCAGAAGAGAAGCATGTCATTTCAAGGGATCAGGAAGCCTATCCCTGTTTCTGAATTGGTTGAGTCTGGCATAATTCGGGAGTCAACAGCAAATGATCTGGAAACTGGAGTAATCACTGTTGAAGAAGTCACTGATCGAATCAAAGATTTCCTCCAGGGTTCCAGCTGCATAGCTGGTATTTATAATGAGGCCACTAGAGAAAAGCTTGGTGTGTACCAGGCCATGAAAATAGGCTTGGTTAGACCAGGGACAGCTCTTGAGCTTTTGGAAGCTCAGGCAGCTACTGGATTCATTGTGGACCCTGTAAGTAATTCAAGGCTTACTGTGGAAGAAGCTTACAAGAGAGGCCTCGTTGGAATAGAATTTAAAGAGAAACTTCTGTCTGCCGAAAAAGCAGTCACTGGGTACAAAGATCCAGAAACAGGAAATATCATCTCCTTGTTCCAAGCAATGAACAAGGAACTCATTGAGAAAGGCCACGGTATTCGTTTGCTGGAGGCCCAGATAGCCACTGGTGGGATCATTGACCCTAAGGAAAGCCATCGTTTGCCAGTGCGCACAGCTTATCAACGGGGCTACTTTAATGAAGAACTGAACGATATTCTGTCTGATCCCAGTGATGATACCAAGGGATTTTTTGACCCCAATACAGAAGAAAATTTGACCTACTTGCAGTTGAAAGAAAGATGTAAAATAGATGAAGGAACTGGGCTCTGCCTGTTACCACTGAGAGAGAGGAAGAAGGTGGTGCAGACTTCTCAGAAAAATACACTTCGGAAACGCAGAGTTGTCATTGTAGATCCTGACACAGGCAAAGAAATGTCAGTCCAGGAGGCTTATAATAAAGGCCTCATAGATTATGACACTTACATGGAACTTTCAGACCAGGAATGTGAATGGGAAGAAATAACTACTACTGGATCAGATGGGAGCACAAGAGTTGTGCTTGTAGATAGGAAAACAGGCCACCAATATGACATCCAAGATGCCATTGATAAAGGCCTTGTTGACAGAAAATTTTTTGATCAGTACCGTTCTGGATCTCTAAGCCTCACGCAGTTTGCAGACATGATTGCTAGCAGAAATGGGGGTGATGAAGTCTTCAAGCATGAATCCATTGTTCGGTCTCCCACTGTAGTGAGTGTCAAGAGTTCTTCCATCTTGCTAAAAAGCAGTTCTGGCTCCTTTTCTGATTCCCCAGAAGAAACCACTCCCATTGCAGCCATATTTGACACAGAAAATTTGGAGAAGATCTCAATTTCAGAAGCTGTACAACGGGGGATTGTTGATACCATCACTGCCCAACGTTTGCTTGAAGCCCAGGCTTGTACTGGAGGCATCATATGCCCTACCACAGGCCAGCGTGTTTCCCTCCAGGATGCAGTTGCCCAAGGCATCATTGACCATGAGATGGCTACACGACTGAAGCCAGCTCAGAAAGCCTTCATTGGGTTTGAAGGTATTAAGGGGCGAAAGAGAATGTCGGCAGCAGAGGCAGTGAAGGAGAAGTGGTTGCCTTATGAAGCTGGGCAGCGCTTCCTTGAATTTCAGTTTATCACAGGAGGCCTCGTTGACCCTGAAGTACATGGGAGAATAAGTACAGAAGAAGCTATTAGGAAAGGATTGATTGATGGCCGGACTTCCCAAAGGTTGCAAGATGTAGGCAACTATGCAAAGATTTTGACCTGCCCCAAAACAAAGCTGAAGATCTCCTATAGAGAGGCAATGAATCGCTCAATGGTGGAAGACCAGACTGGGCTCAGATTGCTTGAAGCATCTTCTGTGTCATCCAAAGGCATATCCAGCCCATATAATGTCTCTTCAGCACCAGGCTCCCGTTCAGGCTCCCGTTCGGGTTCACGTTCGGGTTCACGTTCGGGCTCACGCAGTGGATCAAGGAGAGGAAGCTTTGATGCAGGCACAAGTTCTTCATATTCTTACTCCTACACAACAGTCAGCAGCAGCACTCTTGGGCGCTAGACATTAATCAGTGTACCTACCCTTTTATCTATGTCTGCTTGTTTAAACAAAAGAAAACTAACAGAAAAAAAATCCAATGCATACCTAAACACACAGGCTGGTGGTAATATTGGTACAGTAGTTGCTTGGGTGAAATAGCTAAGCTACAGCATAGAAGCTTAAACCCAAATACAAAGCTGCAAAAAAATGCTTCCTGGGAGGGGATGCTATATTTCTCCTTTTTTTAAAAAAAAATGGCCTAATACTTTGGCACATGAGCGTGGTTTGTAAACTGTTAAGAAAGCAACACCTGCCTCTTTGAAAACATGTCGCAATTTGCCTCTTTATTGTTATTCCATTACTCATGCATGTCTGCAGAATATTAGGCTAACACCCATGTTTTTTGTATCATTTGTCAGGTTTTTTTAAAGCCACTTTAGATGTTTCCCTGCATAATGATGATAGCTTCCAACTGATGTTATACTTGATTAGATTGAGTTACTTTCTCAGTTACTTCAGGTTTATTTAGAGTGGACACTGCTTTTCTGTTTCTGTGACTTGTTTTCTGTGCAACACTATAGAGGCCTGACTACATGAACTTTATTATTCTTGCAATAAAAGTTTAACCATTTTTAACTCATTTGTATGAACGTGTTTACTTTTAACTTTTGGTATGGGTCATTTTCCTGGGCTACTTGGCTGTTCTGTATAGTAAATATTTTGTATTGGAGATTTCTTTGGTCCTGCCTGAAAATTCGCTTGTAACTAGGATTAATAGAGACCTAAATACATTTGTTTGGGGAAATAGTTATAGATTCTTATCTCCTGCTTCACTGACCACAGAAACTTGTCAGCCTTGGGAACTACCCTTGACTTTCTATGTGCAATTCACCATCACTGAGCCAGCGGACAGACATGCAAGCTACCTGACAGCTGAGTCCTATAGAAAAGGACTGGACTTACAGTTGTAATGAAGGACAAATTAAAGAAAGTGACAGATGGCTTTCCCTGGCTTGGTTTCCCCTCCCTCCAAATGTATTTTTGGTAGAAAAAATAACCACCATTCCCTCTCGTTAACACATGAGACACAAGGCTGCGAAGTGTAGGCAGGTGCATTGAAGTGGGTGGGTGGGGTAGCCATCTGTCAAATGATGCAACAGGTCACAAGATACCTGGCTGAGAGGTCACAGATGCAGAGGATCAAAGCACGAGTGAGCAACTGATAATGAGCAAGCTCCATTCTCAGCTACTGCTGCAAGGGAGTGTCAGTGCTAGCAGCAAGCAGCTGTGACTAGCAGCACCTGGAAGTAGCCCATTCAGGATAGTGGAACAACAAGAAGAAAAGTGCTGCTTCCTCACCTCCACCAAAATAAGAACATCTGTGTGAAACCCCTTGTCGGCAGAATGGAGACCAACTCAGCAACATGTACTTGCCAGAATCTGGCTGGCTGTCTGGGTTTAAATTGACCTGTGTGCCATACCCATTTTTATAAGGAGTCTAGAAAGATGTGGCAAGTGCTTTAGAAAGTACAAGACATTATGTGGGCAGCGGCCTCTGCAGAAGCCAGGTGTCTGTTTTTTCCTGCTGGCCAAACAAAAATGGCCATGGTTTGTGGTGTGGAGGGACCAGAGGGCAGCAGTCATTCCATTTCCCAGCGTAAAGTGGGCAGTAGGAGTGCTGCCATCCCAGCTGCTGTCCATGTCATTAACTACACTGTTGGTGAAGTATGTAGATCAACTAGGGATGAGAGGATGGGTCCCAATTTCCAACATTTTTGAATGTATAATATGCATAAAATATAAAACACTAACAGAGTTTGGTAGCACCATAATAGGCTCTCAAAAGCCAAGGTTAACGTTTTTATGCTTCTAAACTACATATAAATGGTGCCTGAGGACAAACCCAACTCAAACCATAAGAGCATGCAATTACATTAATGGGCTCACCCAACCTCTGGTCTCCATGCCTGAGGGAACATTCAGGTCTTCAATACTTTCAGTGTGGGGTCTTGAGAATTACTAGGGATATGGTATTCCAGAGGGTATGTTTCATAACATAGGGACATTTCTTGGGTCCTGCCAGATGGCACTGTTTAATAGCATGCCCACCCTTATGGGAAGGGGATTAACAATTGGGGAGTGGCAGTCCTGCAGATAATCTCCCATGCCATGAAGGGGTTAAGAGGTGATAACCAGCACCTTAAATTGCACCTGGAAGCCTACTGGGAGCCAGTACAGCTTGTGGAGCAGTGGTACAACATGGGCGTATTGAGATGTGCACATAACTGCTTGTGCTGCTGCATTCTGGACAATTGCATCATCTGAGTAATCTTCAAGGGCAGCCTCATGTACAGCATATTGCATTTGCTCCCATTTGGAAGGTGATCAAAGCATGAGTGATCATGAGTAGTGTCTCCTGGTTCAGGAAGTGCACAATTGGTATACAAGATGGATTTGTGAAAAAGCCATGGCTGCCCTTGTTCTTCAAAAGGAAATAAGAGTCCGGGAGGACTCCTACATTATGCACTGATTCTGTCTGGGGCAGTGCTACCCCATCAAGACCTAAGGAAAAATTACAGGATCTGTGGGCCCCTAAAACCCAAAACCACTCAGTCTTGCTAGGGTTGAGCTTCCCCATCCAGACCCCCACAGCCTCTAGCCACTAAGAACGAACCCCAACAGCATTACTTGGTCAGCCTGCGATAGAGATGCATAGGTTGATCCATGAGTGTATAGGTCATATTTGCATAGAATGTGTTAATTTTGCAGTGAATATCAAGTAGCAAAGCGGGATTAGTATCATGAGGTGATGGGAAGTAGTTTTGAAGAATGTGCTAAACCACTTCCTAATGTCCCAATGTTTTGATTCTCAAGCACTGTTCAAAAATATTGATTCATACCTTACAATGCCCAAGTATTCTCAAATTGCTTATGGATATTTATTTTAAATTCTCCTGATCACAGCTTTGTAAGAAGCTATTTTTATATCAGCTGATATAATTTTCTAGCCCTGTATTGTCTGCTCTAATTGGCACTTAAGTTCCATACAAATGGGCCTTCCCTAAAAAAGATTTAACCTTTTATGAATAGGTGTCATAAAAACATTCTGGAGCTGGATTAGAATATCAGAATAAATGTTTATCTACTTTGAAAAGGTAAAAAAAATTCCACTTGAAAATAGTAAGATTTTATATTCTATTTATAATTTGTACACCACCCAGGTAACATACATTTCTTTTTTAATTGGATGGCCCTATAAATCCACTAAATAAATAAATATATTTGTAATTAAAATATTGTATAAGCATATTCTGTATCCATCGGTTGCAGAAGTCAGGAAAAACAAAACATTATTGGAAGGGAGAGAAAAGAAGGATTCTTGTCAGTCTAGTGGTAGCTGATCTTTAGTTACATAGGTCAGCCCTGTTTAGCACTTCGATGAGGAATCAACTGAGAATTCCCTGGCTGTTGGCTAGACCAGGAGGAAAAAAAAGCAATGTCAAACTAATTCTGTAGATCATCAAGAGGAATCAAGTTCAACCTGAGAGAAATATATATATTTAATTGAAAACAGAAAAGAAAGATTTGGGTTTTACTCATACCATCCTGAAAATTCTAACCACACCAATCACTTTTCTTCAGATGAATACTCATTTTGGTCTATAAGAAGATGGTTGCATTAAAAGTTCCTGTGAAGCAACCAGCTTCAGAGGCTAGAGGCCGTAATAATCTGCTTCACATAATCCAGGGACACCTGCAGGATCCTGGTTATCATGAAGAACTGATACAGTATATCCAAGGGAACCTAGAGGGGACTGGTGGTTCTTTCTGGAATTTCAGGATAGCTAGGAAAAACTGAAGGATAAGTCAGGATTTTCTGATTATTAGTAGAACTAAAATGGTTTAAAAAAAAAAAAATTTAAAAGTGTGATCATTTGGAAGATTTAAAAAAAGAGGCTGAACAACTCAATACTTAGTTTTAGATTTTGAGGATGAAATGTTCCCACCTTGAAATGCCATCCTGACCTTGTTGGAAGTGTTCCATCATTGGAATGGACCATTCCATATTGACAGAAGTGACCTGATCTCAAAATAGAGTGCTCTGATTTCTATGGGTGGCTTGTTTTATGTTCAAGCCACATCTGGTAAAGTCAGGTAGCTGTTCTGAGGTTGGAACACTTGCACACACCTGTTTCCTTTTTCAGTGAAATTTTGTCTCAACAAAATGCAAATATTCTATTTAAAACACTGCCAGGATTATGCATAGGAAAATGAAAATGCCTAAAAACTCTGGTTCTTAGATTTGATATTAATAAATGAGTTTAGATAAGCCATTGTATACCAGGACTGTCAATTTGTCATAAGAGGATAATAGTATTTATCTATCTTAAAGTCTTGTTATGAGAATTAATGAAATATGGTATTCTTGTGCAAACAATCCATTGATTGATAAAGACATAGATAGATGGATAGATAGATATGGATGGATGGATGGATGGACAGATAGGTATGTTTTGCAATTTTTCAGAAATTCCTAGAAATTCCAAGTCTCAAGCAGCATTAAGCTATTTAAACTCTTTTTTCACCAGTGAATCTTGGTGCTTTAGAAATGGGGAAAGTAAAAGATGGGACTCCATTTCTCTGAGCTGATACAGTTCTGTCTAAACCTCACATCTATATTTGTTGGTGTGTCAGGTAACCCAACCCAGCCTAGATATCTGGATGACATTTTGTCACATGAAGCCTTCTCTGGTGCAACTGAGATACAGATGCTTGAAGAATATGGAATGTGACCCATTTTGTTTGAGGTCAATTTAATTAAATCTGGCTTAAATCTTCCCAGAGTTAAATTCTTTTCATCACCTCAGAATGAATTGTTGTCTGCTCCTCGAAACATGTATTTATCCATCGAGAAAGACTAAGCCAGGCCTGTAAATGTTCATCCATGTTATTAAATACACATAGATGTTTTAGAGAATTGCTATGGAGTTGGGCGGCCATATAAATTTACAAAATAAATAAAAAAATTTTAAAAAATTGACTCTTCCTTCTCCTCACCAGGTGCACTTCCATAACACTAGTTAACTGGCAATTTTATTCTGAAACACATGAACAATTTTTCTGGAAGTACTGGAATTTAACACAGGAATTAAAATTTTAGATATTTACCTCATACAGTATATCCTTGTGTCCATCAGGACTGTATTTTTAAGCTTCCTGTGCCTTTCCTTTAGGTTACAAATCAGACAAAACAAACAACATAAAAAAGCTATGTGCTGAAATAGATAATTTCTGTGTTCCCACAAACCGGTATACAAGTATACTGAAGTTCTTCTCATTAAAAAAAATAACCATCAAGGAAATCTTGTTTTAGCACAGTGACTATATGCACAGTGCCCATATGTGCCAGAGATTAAACCTTGCACTTCATACAAGCAAAATGTGTAGTACCACAAATCTGTCGCCCGAAGTTTAGTATTCCTGCTTTCTAATATTTGTGTGATTGATTCTTAGGAAATACTATGTTATTTTATATTTTTCAAACAGAATTTGATAGTGGTGCAAATTCTAAAGCCAACACAAGTTAAAATTTGAATAGAATATATATTTATCAAAATCTGCTTGGCAACTGGAAAAGTACTAATAATATCAGCCTATGTCCAGCTGCTATATTAGCTAGGATCATACCATGACACAACTTACAGACTCTTCTATCTGAGATTCTTGAATCTAGGATACAGTGACCATATTTTCTTGGAAAAAATAAAGGACAAACCTGAAAAATGGGCAAATCTGAAAGATATTCATAATGATAAAAAAATTAAATTGGTTATGTTTATAACTTTGCTTTACAAAGAGAAATTCAGGAGCAAAAACTTTACTAAAATGCATATTCTAATTTAAAAAATCTAAAACCAATCAGTAAATGTAAATTTATTTTAAAAAGACAATTCAGTTTCAATATTTTTCACATGAATGTGAAAGACTGCATTAAGTGGTACCATTTGTATGGTAAAAGTTAAATGACCAAAATAAAGGGCGAAAGTGAGTTTCTGAAAAATAAATCTAAAGGACAGTTTTATGAAATAAAGGACTGTCCTTTATAATAAAGGACATATGGTCACTGCAATCAGGGATGGCCATGCAGATTACAAAACTGTTCAGTCATCTCTGAGGATCGTGGTTAACTTTTTTTACTGCACACACAAATTGAAAAGGCAGTGCAGAAATTACAAATATACAGCACTAACATCTAAACTTCACAATCAGGCAATGCAATTTTACTAGATGCATAAAGCAGTGCTAAAGAAGAGTGGCTTTCTTTGCTTTCTAAAATGTACACCCTTTGCTACCCAAAGTCGGATGATTCTTAATACGGATGAAACCGGGCATATATTGCCTCCTAGTGGTCAATACAACTACCAACACCACACAAGGCGTATTGTACACGGTGTAAAAACAAAACAGGTGTATGGAAGTCATGTAAAGTCTTGTCCATGGGGGCATGGTATAATGTAACATGAGAGAATCTCTCTTTCTCTCTCTCTATGGATGCTTAAGGGAAGGTAGACTGAATGTACCTTTTGGATAGATTCTCATTGCTGGAGTGTCTGCAGGAACCACTTGGTTGAGGCCTCCTTCCTTTGGAACAGCCTCCCCCTGGATATGTGGACTACCTCTCCCTGGTATGTTTCTGAAGAGCTGTAAAAATCTGGTTTTTCAGAAGGGCATTCAGGGATGATTGAAGATCTTACCATCCCTGAATAGTGGCATAACAAGTTAAATGCATTTGTTGTTGTTTGATCAATTTTGATTTTTTTAAAGACTACTTGTGTTACAAACTGCTCAGTGTCTTTGGAAATGGAGCACAATATAAACCAAAGTTGTTTTTTTAAAGTATTTTATTTTAAGGGGGAAACTTTTGTTAGCACTAATTCTTGGTTCTTTCCCAAACCACATTCCTTTAATCTCTGTGTTAGCTGGCACCATCTATTTAATGGCAAAACCATTATGATTTTGTTTTTCTAGGCGAACATTTTCTATGCTTTCAGGTTTTTGGTCAGGTCTACAGTTGTAGATTACAACTTTTATTATCTCTAAGTAAGTATGATGGGAAGGAGAGTCTAACACATATACAGTCTGGGAAAGGCTGCTCTCAGGAAATACTTTTTTACTTTAGCAAAAAGAAATAACAAGTTTTTCCTTATCCTTTATCTCTTTCTGCTCCAATAGAATCCTGATTTTTTAAAAAACAGTTCAGTTTATTGACACGAACCATCCTGATGTGCTGAAGCCAACTCTAGCTTCTATAGGTACTGTATTGACACAAATCAAATAAATTGCTTCAGCCACAGCATGCAACTGACCCAAGTTACATAAGTGGTGTCATTTGTATGATGATGTCATGATGTGCATGACATCACTTGACCTCCTTGCTGATTCCCACAACTGGGCTCAGGAAGGTTGATCTATTGGTACAATCCACCCCAATGTCCATCTACCAATATTCAAAGTGACTTGAACAGGAGAATTCCTGCATGATTAAGTCCTAAATTGAGAATGTACTTGTCTTTTTGAAGCTAGAGACCACAATGACTAATGGAATGGACATGTATAATCAAACCAAATGGCTTTTAAGGTAGCATAGATATAGTTCCTCCATGAAAGTCCAGGGCTATTATAGACTATGCTCAGATCAAATCAAATCAGTTTATTACAGCCCTAAGGCCAGATACAATAATGTTTTATTTTATTATATCTGTTCTTAATTATTTTTAGATCCTATTATACTTACTGTTTTTCTGTTATATATGTAGAAGTATGTAACACTTCTACTATTAGATATTTATTGTATCTGGTCTTAGGGCTGTAATAAACTGATTTGATTGATTTGATTTGACTACACTCAGAAGTTGAATAAAATTTCAGAAGAAGGCAATGACAAATTACTTTTGTACTGTTGCAAAGAAAACTCTATTGATGTGCCCACCCAGTCCCCTGAAGTTGAACTTGAAGGTGACTTTCCTTCCCTCAGTAATAAGGATCTTGAACAAGACTACAATGAGGCTTCATAGCAATAGGAAAAAAAAACCCACTGTGCAGTTTTTAATGCTATAGGTGAAAGCTGAGTAAGAAAATAAAATCAAAATCCCTTTCTGCAGAATATAGAAATCACAAAATCACCAAACACAAGGCAAGGACTTAAAGACTTTACAAAATATTGGTACTTCAGATGTTTAAAAGGAGCTCAGGGCAACATACACTGGGCATAGCTTTTATAGTTTAGTACAATCCCGTGACCACAGCTGAGAAATTTTTCACCCATGAGATTGAAGGCTGAGTGAGAATCTGTACTCAAGCCTCCGTAGGCCAAGTGAAACTTTTAATTACAATAGGGCAATGGTTTATCTTTGCCTGTTGGCAGAAACAGTAATAATTTTAACAGCCAAATCCTATGCAAAGTCAGATGTATCTTTACTTCATTGTTTATAGTGGAATTTAATGACCTAATTTGGCACTGGATCGGCCTGTATTAATGCTACTAAATCAACAAGATGGAGGATGTGAAGCAAATTTCCACATTTTCAAGCATTCTATTCTCTATAAATCATTTATAGTTATGTTTATTATGAAATGCTTATGAAGTGTGATGATCAGTTATGGGCACACAGCATAAACTGGTTAAAGGGCATAGGTTCAGTTTGGTGGAAGGAATTTCTTAAGAAATATTAATAATTTATTCCTGAAATGTAGCAAGTCTATGAATAAATCAAGTGCCATGGTTTCCAACCACCAGCATGTCACTTTTTTCAAATCATATAGTAGCACAGAATGTAACTCAGTTTTACTTAATGTTACTTTCTTCCATTAGTAGATGAACTTAATATTCTCCCCTTTGATTCATTCACTTCATCACATCCACTATATGCTTCCCTTCATCAAGTGGCACATTCACCTCTCAGAAATATAGCGTTTTTTAATGATAGCCCAGTGAGGAGGAATACCTGGTTTTCAATGGAAATGTATTCCATTTCTTTCAGTATCTCACCACAAATTCCTCCTTTTCCATTTTCTGGTATATTATCACTGGATAGCCTTTACGAATGCTTGTTTTGTTTTAGAAATATTTTAGAAATACTTGATGAGACTGCAGATTATGATGATGCTACTTGGACTATGCACGATGCATTTAAACAGCCTTCAGCTTATTCTGTGCCGATCAGAAAAGCCGAGCCGAGCCAGCCGTAGATCCGGGTGGGAAGGTTTCACATGCCAGTTTATACAACCAACTCTTTGACCTACAACCCCAAAGGGTTTCAAGAAGCAAATCTAAACACTGTCCTGTCAGAGACAGCTACTTACACACGCATTTATGCAAAATAATAATGGTCATATTAAGTTATAGAAAGACACAGAAAGTAAACACGAAAACGATAAGTAAAATCTATCAGCTAAGCCACGGGAAGTCGCATGTCGCTTGGCATACTGAAGGGGGCGCCGGCTTTCCGCGAAACAGGCTCGCCGGCCGCTTCCGTCAACAAGAGGGCGCTCAGCTCGACGCAGGCGCAGTAGCAACAGTAGGCGCGGCCGAATTGAATTCTTACTTGGAGCCTTGTTGAACTTCCAAAACTGGGTACCGGAAAACTTCAGGTAGGCGCTGCAGAGGGCATTGCGTCGTCGGAGCTAAGCGCTCCCGAGTATCTTTTGTAAATCAGCGCCAGCATCAGGTAAGAGGAGCCCTGCTCTGCTGGCGTTTTTTCCTACTTGAAAAGGTCGCCTTGCGATTCTCTTTGCTCCCGGGACCCTGCTGGCCTGGGTAGAGATGCTTCTCCTTGTATTGCAGGGCGCGCGTGCAAACTGTGAGCAACGCGGCATTGTTTTCTGTTTCAGTGCAAGACTGCATGGAACAATAAGTATCAGGGCAGTTGCTTGCTTTGGACCGACTGGACGTGGACGTATTTTTTGCAGCTTCACAGTGACATCGTCAGGCCAAACGTCCGCGATGCAAAAAGGAGGGAAAGAGGCATGCAGAAATCCGGCTGCTTCTAGGGCACTTTCAGAGTCACACAGCTCTGCGGGGAGCTGCCAAACTGCCCTTTGTGAGTTGCTAAAGAAGTTAGAAGAAGCTCCACCCACTGACTTTGGGCTCGTATGAAGCACAGAGGTAATAGCTTCACCGCTAGAAAAAGCCGGAAGCTTTACTTTCTCGGGCAAACAGTTAAAACATTAAAAAGCAGCGTTGACGTTAAATCCTGGCTTTGCAATGTGCTTCGCAGCAAATGGCTATATATTTACTGGCATGGTTAAGATTGCCCGTTTTTTCCTGTTGTGGTCCTTGTGTCTTTGAACCGCTGTGTGACAAATGAGATGAACAGATGCAAATCTTCCCAGCCTTCGGACACAATGGTAGAAAATACTTGAAGGTTGCCACCAAGGCCCTAGTTAAGAAAAAGTTATCAGCGTGCTTGTTTGAAAAAAGGGCGGGGAGGGGGATAGAAGTCCGGCTGACAGTAACAATGTATTAGAAAAAGTAGAGGATGGAATATGTCTGTCAGAGAACGTAATATGCTGAGCTGCAAACCAGCCAATCATGTTTAAGCCCAGTGCAAACCCAGAATTATGTACTGAAGCAACAAACCAAATATGCAGTTATAGAATCGAGGCTATCTAGCCTGCCAATAATCCTTGTGGAAAAGATCTTGGAATAGTAGTTGATTACAAACTGAGTACTGTATGAGTCAGCAGTATTACGTGCCTTTGGAAAAGACAGATACAATTTTAGGCTACCTCAAGAGAAGCATAGTGTTTAAATCCCCAGAAATAACTCTTCAACTTTATTCTGTACTGGTCAGGCCTCCTCTTGAGTATTATTGCCAGTTTTGGCCATCATATTTTAGAGAAGATTCAGATAAACTGCAACAGATTCAGAAAAGGGCAGTGAGGTTGATTGGGCAACTGGGACTAAGTCCTATGAAGAGAGATTGAAGGCAATAGGACTATTTAGCGTTGAGAATACTGTATGAAGAATTGATAGCGTTATTTAAGTGCATTCACATGGAAGAAAGGCAAGGCAAGACAAGACACAACATGGGATAATGGATTAAGTGACAGAAATACGGTTTCCAGTTGAATATTAAGAAAGCTTAGTAAGAGCTAAATTGATAGCGTTATTTAAGTGCATTCACATGGAAGAAAGGCAAGGCAAGACAAGACACAACATGGGATAATGGATTAAGTGACAGAAATACGGTTTCCAGTTGAATATTAAGAAAGCTTAGTAAGAGCTACTCAGCAGTGTAACTACCTGCCAGGGAGGTGGTAGTCTGTTTTTCACTAGATATCTTCATGTGGAGGCCAGACAATCATTTCCTGGGAATCTTCAGTTTGGATTGATGTGATAAGTAAGGGGTTGTACTCTTTCAAACTGTATGACACTATGCCTTAGTTTGATATGTGAACTTAGGCAAATTGTATGTGAAGTTCTAGCTTTAAATATTAGCATTCCCTATACAAAAAGTGTGAATTACTTCTGCTTTACCTATGATTCTTTGTGGTAGCAATTGGAATGTATGCTTTTCTTTGTGATGAGATGTGTAAGACGTTTCTCACTTCAACATTAAAAGGGAATGCCAGTGGATGTGAAGCCGATGATTACTTCACCTTTCAGCAAAATGAATAGTATATTAAATACAGCCTTACTCAACCTGGCACTTTCTAGCCAATTCCACTACTGTCCGCCAGCCAATGCAGTTGGAGGCCATCAGGCTGGAAAGGACTTTTCTAAAGTTAGTTTTGGACCAAGGAGTGAACCACAGCAAGAAGAGAAGGGTGAGAGTGAACTTCTGGGAGCTAGGCCCAGCAGTCTCTTCCCCCATGCTAAAAGGTTAAAAGGAAAGCTGGATTCAACTCTTTGAAAATATTGTACAAAAATAATTTAAACTCTGAGACACTTTCTTTCTGATCAGTGAATCCATTCTTTGTCTCAGCCTATTTTAAAAAAGCTCTTCAATATTTTTAATTTTCAGAAATTGCCCTCTGCTCATCAATAATTATTAGCAATGCATTTATTATAACCCTCATAATACCAGAGACTGTAGAATATATATAAACAGGTTTTACTAATCTGTGAAAAATATTTTTCCTTGGCTTAAATGCATTACTAACATAATACCACATATTTTTTTCAGTATGTCTTTTGCATTTAATTCATGATATTAATGGATTGGGGTGTTTTAAATGGAATTTCATATCATTATTCCTATCTCATTTATTCTGTTATCTCAGAAAGAAATAAGATCATTATTGAAGTCAATGAATATAATGACAATTACTTCTATTATGACAATTGATAGCAATTTGATTCCAAACTAAAAGTCAGGAATCTTGAGAACTGGGAAACTGAATGTGTCAGACTACATGGATTGTCTCTGGCCTCTGTGTATTTCAGTCTGTTGCTATTCCTCTGTCCGTTCATGCATTAGTCTTATAAAATATACCTGGAAAAAGAAATAAAAAATATATTTGCATTTAAAAAAGAGAATGCATATATTGTGCATGAAGAAAAAGAAAATATAAGAAAGAGATAATGTCTACCCATGATATATGCTTCAGAAAAGAGTCAGTTCAATCAGGTTGAATATTAAAGCTCCCTTTACTTAAAGTTTAAGGTCAGCATCCAGTTCTAGGTATGGAAGAGTTTAGAACTGAGCTTCTTACACCTTCTTTTCCACACATTATTTGTATGGGGCTGGAAGAATGATTCATGGTTATGATCCTGTTGGCTTCTAAAGTTTTCTTGAATGTGTTGGATGGTAGGAGGATCCAACAAATGCATTAAAACAAAGAAGGGAAAAATGGAAAGGAGAAGTTGCCAGCTTCACTGTGGATTTCAGCTTAAATTCTGTCAGGCCCAGTCCAAGAACAACAGTGAAACAGTCCAGCCAAGTTCAGTTCTTTTATTGCTTGCACCATATAGACAGAATATTGTCAGACTAAATCTGAACTACTCTAACCTAGTGGACATACCTTGGAAGATTCTAGGGAGTTGCTGTTCTAAATCTCTTCCTCTTCCCATGCTCCTGCTCTGGACTATGCTGCCTCTTTCCTCCATCCCCCCCCAATGTGCTCCCTTCTTCCTGAGAACCAGGTGCTCTATTGCATTCCATCCCATCACCTCCCCCTTCATAGATACATGCCATCACAAATTGGCATGAGGGCAGGACTGGCTCCAGGATTTGGGAGTTCTTGAGCATACACAATAAGGAGTATCATTGAGGTGAAATCTCTAAAATCTCTTTGAAACTTGAGAATGGAGTTTGCATGTGACCATATGTTTGGGCATGAATTACATTTCAATACTTCTTTACAGAGTATTATACACTGTTGATTTGACTAATGTTAATTATTTCTAGACAAAAACTGTCTTGTTTTTGTTTTACAATGCTTAATGAAATCCAGCTTTTTAAAAAATCCACAGTTTAGGATGCATTCAGTTTACGTACACGCATAGGTACAAAGCTGTCAGTTTTTCTCTCCCATTTGTTGGAGGTTGATAAACAGATATAGAAAAAGCTCCCATACATCCAAGAGTGATGAACATTTCAAAAAATGAAAATGCATATAAAAAGTTTGGTCAAATTCATTCATAAAAGCAACACAATTGTATCCTCATGTTGAAAGAGAATTGCTCCTGAAAGGCAAGTGGAGCAGAACAATGCCAGAACATTTTATTTGTACACCGTTGTAGCATTATTGTGTCATTGGCAAGCTGCCACCAATAGATATTTTTTTTCAGTTGGACATCAAAGGGGAAACACCAAATGAAGTCGGGAATGTTGTAGAGAAGGAATGAACTTATTCAGAATCCTAAACTTGCTCAAAGAGCTCTTCTCTGGCTCCTGAACAAATGTGATGTTAGTGAGAGAGGGAAAGGGGGGTGAGGTGGGAAGCCATTGAACTCAATGCAGAACCTTCAACAGCTTCCTCCTTCCGTTCGCTTCCCCACATTGGAGGACTAGTACCACTTGTTGTCTAATTACAACAGAACACCATATATATGCCTTGTACAAGAATGCATACAACTGGTACAATGTTCCCAATGTGGTGTATAGAGTGAAGTAATCCCCCAAAGCTATAGAAGTATAACAACTATGAAGATGGAACGTTTGGTTGCTTACAATGAATTGTATATTTGCCCTGCCTCAAAACATTTTTTATATCAAACCTGTATATATTTTTCCTTGTATCTTCTCTTTTCTTCTCTTTTCTTCTCTTTTCTTCTCTTTTCTCTTTTCTCTTTTCTCTTCCTTTTCCTTTTCCTTTTCCTTTTCCTTTTCCTTTTCCCCTTCCTTTTCCCCTTCCTTTTCCTTTTCCCCTTCCTTTTCGCCTTCCTTTTCCCCTTCCTTTTCCTTTTCCCCTTCCTTCCTTCCTTCCTTCCTTCCACATGTGCATTTTTTAGGCAAAACAAACAGAAGGTCACGTGATACCTTTGAAGTGATAAAGCAGGTGAATTACACAGGACTTCTATCCTGCCTGGGAAATCTAGAAACAACCTGCATTCCCATGCTACAGTTGGTAATGCAAGGAACAGTATTTCAGTTGGTAAGCTGTGTTTGTGGGTATGGAAGAGGGGCAAGCCTAACAATGGAAACGTGTTCCCCAAAGATGACCTTGTGAGGGGGAAGACTTGGAATGTGGGTCTGTAGTTGCCAGTTTCTGCCCTTCTGCCTATGGGATAAGGGATATGTCTGACTAATTTTTCCATCACAACCCATTTGTTATGGGGGTGTACACTAGATTCCTTGAATATTGTAAAGGAAGGGAATGTACAGTAGGTGGCTGCATATTAAACAAGTTGCTTTTACAGTTCATGGCTGTGATCAGATATACATGGTATGTTGTGTTTTTGGCTTAGCATGTTATTAGAACCTAGATCTAATAGGTCTAATGATCTAAAGGGTCAAATTTCAAACTTGACCCAAACTTGAAACCATGATCAGTTACTGATTTATCCACTTCAATATATCTGCTGTTCTGAACTTTCTTTTACAATTGAAAGTCAGAGGGCTCCCTGCAGGTGGTCATTCTCATTAGGAATTATAATCAACATAGCAATTCCTATAAAGTCCTAGTTATGGTATACGACTAATTGTGATTGTTGGGTTGTATACCATAATGAGGACGTTATAGGAATTGCTATGTTGATTATAATTCCTAATGATCTGATGCTTTTGGTTTCACCACTGGATAAGCAAAGGTTTGCGGATATATCATACTGGTCTTCTTGATGTAGTTCTGTGGCTCCAGTCAAACATTCTTTTGCAGAGATAGAAAACATGATTAGTACCAAGCTGATTGTCAGGATACTGAATCAAAGGAACAAATTTAATCTACTTCATCTTTTTGAAAAAAAAGTTTACTCAAACTGATTTTTTATTTTGAAGAAAAGAGAGCTAGGCTGATCTTGATTCCTGCCCTAATTTCCTGTTTAAAATACTCTTCCCCCACTTCTGCTTGCCCTGATCTATTTGTACTAAACCATTGGTGAATACTACTTAGGGGCAGTTTTTACTTCTGGACTATGAGAATTGTTTTGTAAGGAAAAATGGAGTTTCTATTCCTGATGAGCTGAGTTGACTATAGAAACATAACGTGAGGGTTCTTACACAGTTGGTGAAAAGTAACATGATAGCAAACCTTACCTTGTGGAAACAAGGGACAGATGCAAACCAGCCCCCATGCACAAAAGAGGGAGCCAGATAGTCTGTTACATGGGATGTAAGAGACACAAATGTATTTGGATATTGTTTATATATACAGGGTTTGCTCTTAAACACAGCAGCTCATACTTCCTTTGATTATAGCTCCCTAACCTTTCTTCAATAAAGAGTTATTTATTGGGAGTTCTTGGATCCTTGTGAGCTTGCCTAGTTGGTTATAATTCTGCCTGTAGGGTGAAATCTGACACACAGGAAGCTGCCTCATACTGTGTTAGACCATTGCTCCTTCTTGCTCAGTATAGCTGATGCTGACTGGCAGGGTTTATCCCAGCCTATTATGATTGAACTTGCAAAGTTTGCATGCAAGATATTCAGCTGTGGTCCTTCCTCATATGACTTGTCTGGCAAATATTAGCTCTATTCTAAAAGGAGTTGGTTTGCCTTCCCTGGTAACTGAACATGACCTAATTTAGCTATACGTATAAAAAATTATTTCTAGGCTCTCTGCAGTTGGCAGCATCTGGCTGACCTTGTCTGGACTGGAAAATCAAACAGGGTTGGACTTGGTTAAGATTTGGATGGGAGACATCAAGAAAACGCAGCCTAGATTGTGAAGTCACAAGCAAAATCCTGGAAGAAGGCAGTGGCAATCATATCAGCATTGCTGCTAAGGAAACTACAGATAAACCTTGCTTAATGACTGCCCTGTTTAGCGACTGTTTGAAGTTATGATGGCACTGAAAAAGTAACTTTACCACTAGTCCTTGCACTTACGGCCATCGCAGAATCCCTGTGGTCACATGATGTGATGGAAGACATGAGCAAGGAGGTCCAAGGCCATAGGGAAGGGAAGAGGAATCCCAAGCATTTCCTCAGCCCTCAACCAGAACGTGTGAGTGAAGAGAAGGAGACTGGCACCACCCTAAGGAATTCAGAGTGTTGAGTTGCTGTCATTGGGGGTTAGAGTTAGTCTGGTGTAATTCTGTCTAGTAGGTGTAAACTAATAAAGTAATTGAACTGTTCCTGATTTGTCCCGTTGAGTTTCTTGGGCTGAACTTGACATATGATCAACATTCAGGCACTTCACAACTGGTGGGCATTTATGACTTCCGGCATTGCATGGTCACATGATCACCATTTGCACGCTTCACAACTGGCTTCTGACAAGCAGAGTCAATAGAGAAGACAGCAGTAAAATCATACGTTGTGGTCATATGATGTCTCGCTTAACGACCTGTGGTGATTCACTTAATGACCACAGAAGTGAGGTCATAAGCCCATTGCGGTCACGTGATGTTTCACTTAGCATCACGTTTCACTTAGTGATGGAGTTGCCAGTCTCAATTGTGGTTGCTAAGCGAGGACTGTATATGGAACGCCCATGAAATCACCAAGAGTCAAGCTTGATTTGAAGGGGACTCTACCTTATCTCAGACGAGTGCCATGACCAACCTGCCCTGTCAAAGCAGGCAGAGGGGAAAAATGGACTGATGGAAAACATAGGCCCAGAAAGATAGCCTGGCGTAACTTGAGCATGACATAGATATCACAGCTCAGTGAAATTTAGATTGTGATTAAGTTCCATGTTTCAGTAATACGATCATTGCAGTTGCAGTTATTAAAAATGAGAACATAACAGAGTTTTTGGGAAAGCAAACAAACAAAGCTGGTTTTTTTCCCCTCCTCTCATCAATTGATGGTCTGCTTTATAATTGCTATATTTACTTGGAGACTGAAAAACAGTATTCATTTGGAATTGAAAGCAGCTGCATAGAAAAGGATTGCGATTACAACTGGAAACTTAGTACACAAAAATATGTATGTATATTTATTCTTTATGGCTTTTCCCCTTAGGATGTATATACATGAGGTTATTTATAGAATGCTGATTTGATTGAAAATTACAGCATTGGGCCTGAAGTCTGGAATGGAGATCCTGTCTGTTAAAACTGTATCTGGGTGATGCCCGCTTTGCGGCCTTTGATGCATTAGAATCAGTGAATAAACTCAGCACGTTGCAGAGCTGGCTATTAAAGTAAATAGTGTGGGCATCAGCCCTTTGGTTTTCATCATGGTGGTGCAGCCAAAGCAGTTCTTTTTTCTGCTTCCAATACATACAAAAGTTATGATTCCTCTGCCACAATAGAAAAGGCTGGAATTAGCTGCATCTGCAGTGGAGGAGGAAGGAGACATGGCTGTGGTGATAAGAATAATGTGGAGGATATGTTGGTTCATGCACATACCGTTGGGAAAGAAAGTATTGGATGAGATTAAAATACTTTAAAGGAATTTTGTCCCCGTTATTTCATTGTATCTGAAATAATTAAAATGGTATTCTCAAAGGGTCACATGGGCTGCATCTTTCACTTCTACCTACCGATTTCATTTAGGTTTTATTTTTCACGTGATAAGATTGAAATAGTGCAGTGCAGTGCAGTGGTTAATGTGTTAATGACCTTAAAGCCCTATTTCAGGTTTACTCTCAGTTGCAGAAACTTACTGGGTCTTTGAGCCAATAATTCATTTAACCACCCTGAATAATGGGAAGAAATGAAGGAAGAGTGCTGTAGTCTTAAGCTTCTGGGGAAATAGTGGGCTATACGTCTGAGAAATAAAAATAAATAAAGTCTGCTAATGCCATGGAATAGATTCGTGCCTGGATTTGAATAAATTCATAACCTTGGCCTATTTTTTTGTTCGCCACAGATGCAGTGATGCATTGACAGCAGATTTCCCCCTTTATGCATTAGTAGCCTACATATTTGCTAAATTTAAGGGCTGTGCAAAACATCTGAAAATGGCACTTTGGAAATTATGTTAGCACGAGCAAAGCACTCCTTCCCAAAGCATTAAAGCACTCTAAGCCTTTGGAAGATTGCTTGGACGGCTGTGCCTGGCATGTGTATATGTATAGAAGAATACAGAGAACGCTGGAATTGCCAGTGAAGCAGGAGGTTCTACGCGCATGCACATAAACGTGCCCAGGCAGCCAAAGGTAGCCTTCAGCCTTTGCCAATATTGTGGCTGTATTCATTACTTTGAAAAGAGGTGCTTTGCTGGTAGTGGACATGCTTCGTGAAGCATCTCTTTCAAATGCTTTGCACAGCCCTAACCACTTTGCATTGGGTTTAGGATTGTGAAAAGTACCTCTCAGAGATCATAAAGCAATTTGCAAACTGGCATTTCATATTTATGGCAGCTCTGAGCAAAAATACTGTGAGCTGGAATGCGTTGAGCTGAAAAAATAATGGGCCAGTTTTTACAGTATACCAATCAACTGTATGCGAGTGCTTTTCCCCATTCAGAAAAGGTATTCAGAGGAGAGCTTCCAGACCCTATTGTTTTCCACTTGTGATTCTCCCATATTTTTCCATTGCTCCATCCCTCTCATTTTCTTAGTTCAGAGTTAAGAAGATGCATAATGTTTTCTGTTGGTGGTACTAGGAATGATCTGCTTGGAAGCTCCTGCAGAGCTGAATAATGGTAGAACCAGGGGAAAAATAGAGCAAAACATATCACAGTCTTTGTCCAAAATAAGTGGAACGTTGCTGTCAGGAGAAGGTACAACAGGCAACAGATGTTGAGAAGTGTACACTGGACTTGTATAGAAGGTTGAGTAGTAAGAAAAGAACATAAATTGGCTTTTTGGGTGGAATTAAAGTTCCTTAAGCATAATCCTGTGTTTCCAACATTGGCAAGCCTCTTTATGCTGAAGTTCCGAAATTAGGTTTGATGGTAATAGCTATCCTTGTTTGTCACCAGCAGCTGGGGTACAGTTCCTCTGTATATGGAAGATATTGGGCACTGTCAATAGATATAAGCTAGTTCTTTTCAGTTTAGAGTTGCAGAGCAAAACACGTTATTTCAGTATTTCAAAAAAGTATCCTTTTTAAAACATCTGTAACAGTTCAGATTTTAAGTCTTAAAAGAGCAGCAAAACTGACACCAAACTCTCTGTAATCTAACTTTTTTCCCCTCCATCCTTTGTGGTATTTTTGTAGGAGGCAATTTCTGCCCTGGTTATGATTTGAAGGAGTTGCCCACAACCCAACCTCAATCAAAGTGGAACAATATGTCATCAAAGACCCATTCAGCATGGTATGTTCTTGGAAAGAGTTTGAAGAGAAATCCCAAGAGTTGTCTGAAACTGAAGTCCATTTCCATGGTTGCATTACTACACTGTAAAAATGGGCAGCACATTTTAGCTAATGTGAGAAAGATAGAGGTAAGGAGAAGAGATCTCCTCTCCTTTGGCAGTAACTAAAACCAAATGGGATTAATCATTACAGTAAATGGTTTATGCCCATTCCCAGTAAATATTGAAATTATGTACATTATTTCTTATG